ATGATAAGGAGCAGGATGACGACGCTGATGCTGTTGCTGATGATGTTGATGATGATGATGATGCTGATGATGCTGATGCTGATGATGATGATGGTGATGATGCTGATGATGATGATGATGCTGATGATGATGTTGCTGATGATGATGACGCTGATGAGGATGATGGTGCTGATGCTGTTGATTGTGATGACGATGACGACGCTGACGAAGATGATGATGATGATGATGATGATGATGATGATGATGATGATGATGATGATGATGATGATGATGATGATGATGATGACGGCGATGGTGATGATGATGCTGATGATGATGATGATGCTAATGCTGATGATGATGATGCTGATGATGATGATGGTGATGATGATGATGATGATGATGATGATGATGATGCTGATGCCGATCATGATGATGATGAGGAGGAGGAGGAGGAGGACGATGAGGAGGAGAAGGAGGATGCGATGGATGAGGAGGAGGAGGAGCAAGACGAGGATGAGGAGGAGGAGGAGGCGGAAGCGGAGGCAGAGGTGGAGGCGGAGTCGGAAGCGATGGTGGAGGCCGATGCGGCGGAGGCTGCATAGGCGGAGGCGGAGGCGGAGGCGGAGGCGGCGGCGGCGGCGGAGGAGGCGAAGGCGGATGTTGATGATGATGATGATGATGAGGAGGAGGAGGAGGAGGAAGAACGAGGAGGAGGCGGAGGAGGAGGAGGAGGAGGAAGAAGATGATGAAGCGGAGGCGGAGGAGGATGCGGAGGAGGAGAATGAATAGGAAGAGGAGGAGGAAGAGGAGGAGGATGAGGCGGAGGAGGAGGAGGAGGCGGAGCAGGAGGAGGAGGAGGAGGAGGAAGAGGATGAGGAGGAGGAGGAGGAAGAGGAGGAGGAAGAGGAGGAGGAGGAGGAGGTGGAGGATGAGGATGAGGAGAAGGAGGAGGCGGAAGAGGAGGAGCAGGAGGATGAGGAGGATGAGTCGGATGAGGATGATGATGGTGATGGTGATGGTGATGGTGATGCTGTTGATGATGATGATGACGATGCTGATGCTAATGATACTGATCATGCTGATGCTGATGATGATGAAGTTGCCGACGACGAGGATGATTATTCGGATGCTGCTGATGATGATGCTGATGCTGTTGCTGCTGTTGATGATGATTTTGCTGCTGATGCTGATGCTGATGATGATGACGATGACGATGATGATGCTGATGATGCTGGTGATGATGCGGAGGCTGAGGATGATGACGATTATGATGATGCTGCTTATGCTGATGATGACGATGATGCTGATGATGATGGTGATGATACTGATGCTGATGCTGCTGACGATGCGGATGCTGCTGCTGATGATGATGGTTATGGTGCTGATGATGACCTGATGATGGTGATGATGATGATGCGGATGATGCTGATGATGCTGATGCTGCTGATGGTGATGATGATGCTGATGATGATGATGATGAGTATTATGATGATGATGCTGATGCTGCTGCTGATGATGATGATGGTGATGATGATGCTGATGCTGATGATGATGGTGATGATGATGCTGATGATGCTGATGCTAATGCTGATGATGAGGAGGAGGAGGAGGAGGAGGAGGCGGAGGATGAGGAGGAGGAAACAGAGAAGGAGGAGGAGGAGGAGGAGGAGGAGGAGCAGGAGAAGGAGGAGGAGCAGGAGCAGGAGGAGAGGAGGGGAGGAGGAGGAAGAAGGATGAAACGGAGGAGGAGGAGGAGGAGGAGGAGGAGGAGGAGGAGAAGGAGGGGGAGCTGGAGGAGGAGGACGAGGGGGAGGAGGAGGACGAGGGGGAGGAGGAGGAGGAGGAGGAGGAGGCGGAGGAAGAGGAGCAGGAGGAGGGAGAGGAGGATACATGACATTAATTATATCAGCATGGATAATACATTTAATCATGATGCTAAGACGAAGGCGAAGACGAACAACACGAATAATACGACTACTACTCATAAGATAACTCATAATACCACGAACAACATTAATTATCCCAGTGCGACCCTACCTAGGAGTTGGAGGATCTAGGAAAGCAACATCTATATGAAGCTAAGCTAAGCCAAGATGAAGCTAAGGTAAGATGAAACAAGCTAAGCTAAGATGAGATAAGCAACGCGAAGCTAAGGGAACGTCACTGGGGGAACCGCGGGGCGGATGCCGGAGGAACCGCCCGGGGCGAGCCCCACTGCCCGGCCCTTTAAGCTTAGCTATGCTATGCTAAGTTGCGCTATGCTATGCTATGCTATGCTATGCTATGCTGCGCTATGATATGCTATGCTTGGCTATGGTATGCTTTGCTATGTTATGCTGATGCAGCGCTGCGCTATACTAAGTTCAGCAAAGCTAAGCTAACCCTCTAAGCAGAGCCTGGGTAGGGAATTACACCCATCCTATGATATGCGATGCTGCGCTATGCTACGCTATGCTATGTTATGCTGTGCTCTGCTATGCGAAAGCTCAGCGAAGCTAAGACAAACCTGAGCTAAGATGAAGCTAAACTAAGCTAAGATGAAATCAGCTAAGCTAAGATGAGACGAGCAACGCGAAGCTAAGGGAACGTCACTGGGGGAACCGCGGGGCGGATCCTGGGGGAACCGCCCGGGGCGCATTCCACTGCCCGGCCCTGTAAGCCTCAGAGTAAGAACCCTTATAGGGAGAGCCTAGGTAGGGAATAAGATTAAAAAGAGTAGTAATTCGACGAAACAGAATGATCATGATACGGATACACATAGTCATGACACGAAGAAGAGGAACGACTAATTAATTCAAGCGTAAGACACATACTATTATTAAGAACAGTAATAGTAATAAGCAGACCAACAACACTAATGATAATGATACGGATGAAATACTTACATTTCTAATAGGGTGATTCAGAAGAAAATCAGTAATGATACTATGATGATGACGATGATGATGATGAGGAGGAGGAGGAGGACGAGGAGGAAGAGGGGGAGGAGGAGGCGGAGGCGGAGACGGAGGCGGAGGCGAAGGCGGAGGCGGAGGCGGAGGCGGAGGCGGAGGCGGAGGAGGAGGAGGAGGAGGAGGAAAAGGAGTGTTGCTCCCCACCCTGGCCCCATGGCTCAAGATGCTGTCCGACGCCAGTATGGCAAGATCCTGTGCTGCTCCAGGAGTCCTCTGCAGACATTTGTCGAGTTTCTGTTCCAGATTGACTAATGGTAAGTTTCGCTATGTTTGGCGATTGGCTCGGTCGTACCTGCGTCGGCTTCGAAGTAAGCGCCAATGTGCTGGCAATCACACAGCATGCGGAACGGGGCCTTGTGTGTTTGGCGAAGAAAGAGCACGAAGAGGATGAGGAGGAGGAAGAGGAAGAGCATCATGACGTGACGATCAAGATGAGGGAAAGTGAAGATGTGGCAGAGGAAGGGAGGCGGAGCGGGGCGAATGCGGAGGAAGGAGGAGGAGGGAGATGGAGGATGGGTCGGGGAAGGCGCAGGAGGAGGAGGAGGAGGAGGAGGAGGAGGGGAAGCGCAGGAGGAGGAGGAGGAGGAGGAGAAGCCACACCTGCCACACTTTGAGAACTGCCGGCCCTGCATCCGTGAAGCGGTTGCCAACTTTTTAGCCTGCGGGTCATTCGAATGGTGAGGAAGGCTCGGGCGAAACGCCCCGCCCGCCCTTTTGACTGGCCTCGGGGTGCGACAGGGAGAAGTTGTTTATAAGGAGAACGAGAGAGGAGTAAAGAGTGAGATGAGGAGGGGGGATGAGGGATGGAGGAACGATTGAGGCATGGGGAATATAGTGGTGACGGTGATTTTGATGATGGTGATCGTGATGATGATAATGAGAACGAGGGTGCGGAATATGATGAGGGTGTGGCAGTGATGGTGATGGTGATGATGATGATGTTGTTGATGATGGTGATGATAGTGTTGATGATGCGGATGCTGGTGACGAAGATGATTGGGATGATGATGGCGGTGGTGGTGATGATGCTGTTGATACTGATGCTGCTGATGGTGATGATGATGTTGCTGATGGTGGTGCTGCTGCTGATGATGGTGGTTACCAGGATGATGAAACTGACGATTGAGATGAGGATGATGATGATGATGATGGTGGTGGTGGTGGTGATAATGATACTGTTGATACTGATGCTGCTTATGATAAGGAGGATGAGGATGAGAACGAGGATGATGATGAGGATTATGACGCTGCTGATGATGATGTTGATGATGATGATTCTGGTGGTGGCGATGAAAATGATGACGATGTCGATGGTGATGACAATGATGCTAATTATGATGATGATGCTGCTGATGATGATGCTGTTGATGATGATGATGCCGATCGTGGCGATGATGATGTTATTGATACTGTTTTCGATGATGATGGCGACGATGATGATGATGATGATGATGACGATGACGATGACGATGATGATGCTGATGATGATGATGATAAGAAGATAACGATGCTGATGATGATGGTGATGATGATGATGCTGCTGATGATGCTGATGATGACGATGATGATGATGAGGATGATGACAATGATGATGATGTTGGTTGTGATGATGATGCTGATGGTGATGGTGATGCTGATGCTGATGATGATTAGAAGGATGATGATGCTGATGATGATGGTGATGGTGATGGTGATGGTGGTGATGATGATGATGGTGATGATGATGCTCATGAGTATGATGTTGACGCTGACGCCGACGCTGCTGCTACTGCTGATGATGATTACGATGGTGGTTATCATGATGGTGTTGCTGCTAATGGTGATGAGAATGAGGAGGAGGAGGAGGAGGAACAGGAGGAAGAAGGGGAAAATGATGAGGAGGAGGACAAGGAATACGGGTCGGGCCCCAGCTCGGTGCAAAACGGCTCCAAGATTGCCGGCCCAAGACAGCCCTAGAGGGCACTGAATCGGCTCCCAGACGGTTACAGCAGCCACAAGGGAGCTCCAAAAGAGTGCAACAATACGGGCCCACAGGGTCCCACGACAGCGCTAAGATTGGAGCCTCTCCAGCCATCTTGACTCGAGCTATTTTAGCCCAGGTCAGTTTGAATTCTGTCATTCTGGCTAGGGCCAACACAAGCTCGAGTCACTTGTCCCACAAGTTCTGTCTCGAGTTATGCTCAGTTTCGATTGTGCTCCAGCGGATGATCATCACATCGCTGCTGAAGATGATTCCGGCATCGAACACGACGGGGTGGCAGAGGCGATTGCGAGCGCACCCATGAGTACCAGCGGTGGTGACGTCAACAGATGTACGCGTACAACGGGTAGCGCACTTCAATGGCAATCCAAAGTCGAAGAAGTTAGCGAGCGAGGAGTCACATTGAATGCAATTCTCGAGTTTTACGCACATTTGTTTGAAACCATGTTGGATTTTAGTCCGACTCGCAGCACTACACATGAAGTTGTCAGTGGCAGCGTTGTGCCTTTGACAGCTGATCTGGGTCAATTTTACACTTGGCTGTGGCAGTGGGATGACACTGACAGGCATAGGGATGAATTTGGGGCTGGCGCGTTCGCAACATTAGCCTCTTACGGCGAAGCGGTACTGCCATCCAAAATGGTGACTCATCATTGGGCGAATGTGTTTTCACACACAGTGGCGGCTATTGTTGCGGATGCGCTCGAAGAGCAATACTATGGCTCCAGAGTCGATCAGCTCAAGACAGCAGACGGAACGCGCGCGCTCATCAACACACTACGGGCTCAAGGGTTATTGCAGTCGACTTACTGGCTGTGCGCGCTCAGTGTCAACCAGCATCGTTCAATCTGCCGAGGATGCCCGTGCGCCCTCGAAAAATATCCGAAGGGCTGCGTTTTCTGCCGCCGCTCCCCCCAGGCCGTGGCATCTTGTGGATTCCCCTGGCTCCGCGGGTTGTGCGTATGGAATGGGTAAAGTCTGAGCGTTGCAAGCCCCCGCTCCCCGTCCTTCTCCTTCTTTCGACACTTACTCAATATGAATACTACTCTCCTCTCTCCCCCGAAGATTTCAGGGGCAGGGCCCGCCCCGTTCCGCCTTTTTTTCTGTTGGTAGACACAGGGTTTGAACAGTTGGTTCTGCTATGGTTTTTACAGTGAGAGCACCCTTGGTGTCTCAAAATGGTGATCCCAATGTAGCGATGGCCTCACTTTAGGATCAGCACTTTGCTCCCATCACTCAGAATGGCGCTCTCGCCCCAGCGCGGGCCGCTTTTCTGGCTTTGAGTGCTTTCTCGTCGTTGTCACCCCGCCAATTTCCCCTCCCCCCGCCTTCCCCTGGTCATCCTGCCCCTACCGCTTCTGTCACCCCTTTTCCTGCTGTTGCTGTTCCTCCTCGTCCTTGTCCTTCCTTCTCCTCCTCATCCTGCTGTTTATCCTCCTGTTGATCCTCCACCTCCTCCAATGTACTCAGCTTCCCTTCTGTCATTGTACATGGCACATCGGGGTCCTTTGGGGGTCCCAAGTCCGCAATGACACCCGTCGGCAGATACAGAGCACACAACGCAATGGGAGGGGACTGGTGGGAGAAGTAGAATGTCAGATATGGCGCGAGCGCACCTAGCTTGTCGCTTCGCTCTCCCTCCCACTCCACATAGATTCCTCTTCTTCGTCCTCATACCCCCGCTCCCCTGTCTTGAGATACCAACGCATCCGCTTTCGCTGATCCCCCACAGCCAAAGTGGGTGTATTCTTCTCGCTGCACACCCCGGCGCATGATCACCTCCCCTTGTCCCGCCCCCCCCTTTTTCCCTCACCATCACGATCACCATCACCGTCACCATCACCACCACCATCATCATCATCATCATCGTACTAATCATCATAATCATCATCGTCACCACCATCATCATTATCATCATCATCATCATCGTCATCATCATCATTATCGTCATCATCATTACCATCACCATTATCATCATCATCACAATCATCCTCATTATCATCCTCACTATCAGCAGCAGCACCATCAGCATCATCATCATTACCATCACCATCATCATCACCATCATCATCATCATCCTCATCATGGTCTTAAGCACCATCGCCACCATCATCATCACCGTCGTCATCATCATCGTCATCATCGTCATCATCGTCATCAGCAGCATCAGCAGCATCGTCATCATCGTCATCATCGTCATCATCGTTCTCACCATCATCATCAGCACGGTCAACATCATCATTACCACCATCACTATCACCACCATCATCGTCATCATCAATAACGCGATAGCAGCCGTAAACATTTTGGCTCAAATGCTATACCTGCGCTTGCTGAGGCATATAACTTGTGCGCAGCCGTGGGGAGGGCCCAAGGACGGGCACAAGGAGTTTCTTCGCACTTCCGCCCCCATCCAACTGCCCTAGTACTGGAAGCCTTCCGTTTCGTTACTTTCTGTCTTCTGATCCCAGTTTTCCAGCATGCATGCCGCTCAGTTGAGGCTAATCATCGTTGAGATGGTGGCGCCAGTCAATCTGGACATCTCCAATGCCGGCAGCATCCCGCCAGCCTGGACGAGCGGCTCTCGCAGGCATCGCCGAAACGCGAGTTCGATTGTCCACATGCAGAACCACATCGCAGCACATGCTTCGAAAATGGATGGGCTCGGGAAGAGGCTGCAAGGTCTTCTGCAAAGATGGAGGACGTCTGCGAGGTTCTTGCCACGTGCTCTTCTGCCGCGCGCCTGCAAACCCGCGTGGCTCAGTTTGCTGACCTGGGCCGCAAATTCAAAGGTGCAACGACATGATCTGCCGCTTCTTCCATAGGCACCCCTTCGGCGCGGTCTGCTCGCTTCGCCTTGCTTTCAGACAGATCCAAATTTGGGGCCCGATGGTTTCCCAAGAAACAGATGGAGGTCGTCCTCGAAAGAGACTTGACCATCATCGGAAACTCCATGCTGGATGAGTGTCGCGAGAAGTGCCATTGCCAGTGTCAGAGTCTGTGGTTCGCCTGCGCCAGCAAGTTCGACGAAGCCGAGCACGCCGAGGCCTTCTACGTGCACGCGAGAGACCATCCCATTCGTCCTACACAGGCGTCTACGGGCACTCGCCATGACTTCCACATCGGCTTCGATGAGCTGTATAACACAGTGTATTATTCTCAGTCTGGTACGGAAGCAGATCTCCACGAGCATGCGCGACAATGGGGGCTGGAACACATCGAGTATCTAGGCTTGCAAATGCCAGGGCCTCTGTTACACCGCTATCAACGACGAGCCGATGGATGGACCATGTCACCCTCGCCCCGTGGTCGGGGACCACGGTAGAGCAGAAGTTCTCGATGTGCATTTAGAATTCGCGAACATTTTTTGGAAGTGTGGACGGTGACCTTCGGAGGCGGACGAACAAACTACGTCAGCTTGCACCCGAGTCAAAACACATACTGGTATGCGCATGCAGGAGCCACATGGAACTGACGCAGATCCTGGGGCACCCTGTCGAGATTATCCGACGCGCATGCCCGCGTCGCTCCGTTGCGCTACAACCAGCAAGCCGGTGGCGCGACGATCACCGTCGCCAACTCCTTTCTTTGTAATTTTACGACGGTAGAGCCGATGCAGTGGAACGGCGGTCGGCTGCTCTTTCTCTCTCTCTCTCTCTCTCTCTCTCTCTCTGTATCTCTCCCTCTCTCTTATTTTGCGAGGGCCCAAGGGTATCTTCAAACTTCAGAGTCCATCTCGGCCCCGCCCTCTGTGGTTCCAGGCGATGTCGGCTTGCGAACTCGGTGGCTCATGCGATGCCCGACTCGTCTACGCGTTCACTTTGTGCAGGTGGTTCAATATTCTCGAGTCAGGAGAGCCCGTATCAACGGATGGCGAACTGCAGCATCTTGAGCGTCCAGATCCGCAATCTTCCCACCTCGCGCTACTTGGCGCGTTAGAGCTGGCACAGGACGAACCTGCGCGCAAGTCTGGGGACCTCGGGGATGTCATTTCCATGGACGTTTGAATAGGGCGTACGCGATGGCACCGACGTCTGTTTCTTCCTGGGAGCAAAACCGTCGGCCGGGATTGCCGGGCACGCTTTTCAAGCGAATGGTCCGAGCGACTATGTTCTTATGCTCGTTTCTCTTCAAGGACCCAGGCGTGTTCCGCCGCGCCTGCGCAGGATGCTGCTTGCCTTGAGTTTCCCGACTCTGTCGATGGGGCGATCGAACGAATTGACCCCTCCGGGGGCCCGCTTGTTGCCCTGGCTGAGAGCGGGGACTGCGCGCAGCACGTGGGCGACGAGCTCGGGGCGAGCATGTGCAGATGGTGCGCAAACGGGCGCTCGTAGATGCGCGGTAACACGAATGACAACCGGCATGGAATTAAGAGGTCTGTGCGTGCATGCCCTGAGCTTCGACGGCGCGTGGATGGCGAGCGCGCGCGCGCCGTCGATGGCGCGCGGTTTGACGAACGCGCTCGTATCTTCAAGGGCGCGCTCCAGTAATGGAGATCCGTGAGCGCCAAAGGCGGGGGCGCCCGTAAGTCTGATTCGGGCGGCCCGCGTCGCAGGGGGGGCGTCGCGCCAGGGCCCCCCGGCGGCGGGTCGCGCGGCCCAGAAACAGTAGGTTGGCCGACCGTGCGACAGGGAATTTGAAAGTGAAATGCGAAAAGCAAGGGTCATATGTACCCCATATGAGGAAAACGCAATTGGGCCATCAGCTGATTCAGGATGGAAACTATAAGACATATGGCCCTAGTCACAAACAAACCGAAACCCGCGCTCAAAGCACGCGTGTTCGCGCGGAGGAGGGTTCCCTTATGTATATCCAACGATGAAGCAGGGTATGCCAATACAGTGTTCAATATTCATGCTTCTGTTGTCGTTCGAAGCTGTTCTGGCCGCGAGGCATGGGGGGGCGCCTCAGTCGGCCAGCCTTTGAGTGCGCCGACTCGAGCGCGCGCTTCTGTCATCGCGCTCTCTGCGCGGCGATGGCCGCGCACCGCGCGCGCGATGCGGGGCCCCTTCGAGAGGCAACCGGGCGGGGCCGGTGTGATCGGACATTGTTCGGAGGGCCCGCTGGGGAGGGGTGGGCGTCGGCCCGTCGGCAAACAGCTCCAATATTCTTAGATTCCATGCTCTTTGAGTTCTGCTGGCTCGCCCATCCTGCCTGCCCCCCAGCGGGGGCCGCGCGTCGAGCGGCTTGGCCTCTTGGATGCCGAAAGGGCGAGCGCGCGCGGGCGCGCGGCAAGCGGCGCGTTGAACGACCCTGGGATTGGGCGACTCTGTCTTTGCAGCCGCCGCCCCTTCGGACGAGGGGGATGCATCTTCGGGCGCGGGTCCGGCGCCTGGGTGATTCTAGTCTTGGTTGGGGGGCCGACGAACCAGCTGGCGCGCCCCTTCGTGCCCGATGATGTCCACGCTCGCGTTATCACGTCGCTGTGCTCCGTGACTTCCTCGGTTGCCCTGAGGGCGGGCCGAGCGCCAACGCGAATGCATTGCTGAGTGAGGCTGGGTGCCCAACCAGGGGGCTCCGGGGCCCGCTGCTCCAGGGCCCGCTCCAAGACTCCAGGGGTTCAGGATCCACCCCAGTGTCTGCCCCGAGGTGGGCGTTCGATCTAGTCCCGCCCCGCGGCTCCGATTGCAAGTCGGACCCAAAAGCGCCTCGGGGGGCAGGCGGGGGCGACGGGGGGGGGGGCGAGGGGGACCATGGCGAGGGGGGACAGACAAGGGACGAAGAGCGCGGGCCCCCACGTCGGCGCGCCCCTCGCGCCTTTCGCGGCCGCGGCCCCATGGGGGGCCCCGTGTGGCGAAGAGCTTCTTCAGAGGCGGAGGCCGGAGCAGGCGCGCGCGATGTGGCAGTTGCCGCGCCCCGGCGGCCGCGGGGGGATCTTCCCCCGCAGGA